TGAGGTATTTGCCGGTGGAATTCGTGACCTTGACATCAGTTGAGGATGGGTACTCGAGAGCAATGCTAAGTAAGCAACCAGGCAAAGGCTCCAGGCAGTCAGTTCCAAATTGGAGGTTTGATTTCAGGTTCCGACTGACTGCTCTCTTTCTCCTTGTCCTGCAGGTGTGGACAAGGACAAAGACAAAGACAGGGAGAAAGCATGATATGGGATACTCTTGCTTTCGACCCTGATGATATGAGATACTCTTGTTCTTGGTGTGGCTTATTTGCTGAGGTATTATCGGGGGGAAATAAAGCTGAGTATTTCGAGAGGTTATGTTGAGGGTGCCTTTTCGAATGCGAGAAAGGGTTGAGCATTTTTGCAGGTTTGCCTGTCCGTTGAGGAGGGAGGTCAATGTATATAGGGATTTCCCAATAACAAGTAGTAATGCTATTCCTTTACCCTTCTTGGTCACAGCAATGTAGTGGGAGCTGCCAGCTTCACGTGTTTTAATTTTGTCAGAGCACTTTGAAAAAGTGGTATGTGGTATCTGGAAAGCTGATATTACGTGTGAAGATTACAGACAAGCTTTATCTAAGGAAATCTGGCTTTCGAAGTTCTGAGAGTTGTGCCTCTTCGGTTTTCGAACAAGCAATCCCGTCGAGGATCTGACTCTCCAGATTCAGAAAGCGGTGCTACTCCGGTTTTTGAGAAAGTAATTATGTTGGGAGTCTTTTCTCGAATGTGAGTAAAGGTTGGACGTTCTTGCCAACCTGTCTTGCCGCAAAACACGGAGGTCGACACACATAGGGACTTTCCAGTTGTCAAGCAGTGGTGCTGTTCCTTTACCCTTATGGGTAATAGTAGGGTAGCTGGAACTTCGAAATTCTCGTGCCTAAACTTTGTCAGAGATCTTTGACAAAGTTATATGTGGTACCCGAGGAGTTGATGGTGCATATGGAGAGCGGTGATTGAACAGTAAGATTCACGTGCTTTCTACTTCACCAGAAATCTTCGACAGAGTGCCCGTAATTTCCGCAAAGCTGATTGTGCATGTGACAGGTGCTGACGAGGCTGAAAAAAGCAGGTGCTTCTTCGATTTCTGAGATCGGCCCTCGTGGTCTCTGAGCAGCCCAGCTTTTGAGAAAGCAAACGCCTCTTCGTTTCTGAGATCGGCCCTCGTGGTCTCTGAGCAGCCCAGCTTTTGAGAAAGCAAACGCCTCTTCGATTTCTGAAGCTCCGTCGAGTGCAGATTTTTATAGAGGCTGGCATTAAGTTCCAACAGCACACTTGAATCTCCACCAGTAGAAGCTTCATTTCTTGCACTTCTAAGATCTTGATTTGTCCGACCTCTTCTCTCTTCAACACCTTTGAAAATGTCTGGCCCCTCCGACCGTCGTTTTGACTTGAACCTTGTTGAAGAGGCAGCCCGCCTTCTCCAGACAACATATGGCGCCCATCCTTCGTCTCCCCTACTGGTCCTCTTACCGTTGGGGATTCCGTGATGAAGAATGATATGACCGCTGCGGTGGTGGCCAGGAACCTTCTCACTCCCAAAGATAACAGACTACTTTCCAAACGGTCTGATGAGTTGGCTGTTAAGGATTCTCTGGCTCTTCAGTGTTCAGTGTGCAGGTTCTGTGTCTAATATGGCCCAACGCCTATTTGCTCGAACCCGCCAAGTTGAATCATTGGCGGCTGAAGTGATGAGTCTCAAACAGGAGATTAGAGGGCTCAAGCATGAGAATAAACAGTTGCACCGGCTCGCACATGACTATGCTACAAACATGAAGAGGAAGCTTGACCAGATGAAGGAATCTGATGGTCAGGTTTTACTTGATCATCAGAGATTTGTGGGTTTGTTCCAAAGGCATTTATTGCCTTCGTCTTCTGGGGCTGTACCGCGTAATGAAGCTCCAAATGATCAACCTCTGATGCCTCCTCCTTCTAGGGTTTGTCCAGTACTGAGGCTCCAAATGATCCCCCTCCGGTGCCTTCTCTTTCTGGGGCTCTACCGACTGCTGAGACTTCTCCTAAGCAACCTTTGTGAAGGCTCCCTCTTGTTTGTTTATTTTGACTCATGTATATGTACATATTTGTAGCTTATCGGGATATCAATAAATAAGCTTTCCTTCATTTCAACGTATTGTGTTAAATACACCAAAGCCTTCTTCGCTAAAGTTCTTTGAATTTTCTTTTGTTGAAGCTTTTGTATGTTGAAGCTTTGTGAGTGGAGCATGTAGGTTGAGGTAGTGTTCCCTTAATTTCCCGAGTGAGGAAAACTTCTCGGTTGGAGACTTGGAAAATCCAAGTCACTGAGTGGGATCGGCTATATGAATCTTAGAACGCCATTGTGCTCGATCCTGAGTCATGTCCTTCGTTAGATCCAAGTACTCTAAGTCTTTTCTTAGAGTCTCTTCCAAAGTTTTCCTAGGTCTTCCTCTACCCCTTCGGCCCTGAACCTCTGTCTCATAGTCGCATCTTCTAATCGGAGCGTCAGTAGGCCTTCTTTGCACAACACTGTCTAATTTTCCCTTAATTTTGTTTTCTGGTTCCCATGTTATCGGCAGTTGTACGAGTTCAAATCATTACATGTGGATTTCATAGAACAGTTGCTTGTGAACGGAAAGGCACTTGCTCCTCACGAAAGCCGTCCGTACCTCAATTTATGCACGCACAAACCATATACTGGTTTCGAGTGAAATATTTGCAAGTATTGTACTTTTGCTTAGGTTTTGTTTGTCTGCCCGTGAGTTTTTATGCTGTATTCTTTGTGAATAGAATAGGGAATGAAGAAGGACAAGGTGAAATGCCATCAGTGCAGAGAACAGGAAAATACTACTACATTTTAATGGATTTTTCTTTTGGCCCTCTATTTGGATGGAGACTTTTTTTTTGTGGTCAAAGGTAGAGAATAATATTACTCTAATATTTATATGGGTACATTATTTGCTTGCTATAATTTTGTATGGGTACATTATTTGCTTGCTATAATATTTATATGGGTACATTATTTGCTTACTATAATATTTATATGAGTACATTATTTGGATGGCGGCTTTTTTATATGGGTACATTATTTGCTTGCTATAATTAGTGAAGAACAATATTACTCTAATATTTATTTTTAAGTATTTATTATATTTTAAAAATATTATTTGAATTTGTTTAAACTTCATAATTTGTGGGACATTAAATGCATAAATGCATGAGCTAAATCTTTTAAATGATGTTAAGGACCTCGATCAAAATATTTAAACAAACAAGGTTTCAGTCTAACAATTAGGTTGATTAAGGACCGGAACCAAAATGACCTTATTTATTAAAACGAAGTCCAAACGGACGAATTACACCTTACAAAACCCCAGAAAGAACCATCACATATAAAAAAGACGTCACTTATGCAAATAAAGCATGAGTAATGGTTTTTTACTGTTGCAATTACAAAATAGTACCTAAATGAAAAATCATAAACGGTTTTTAACTCAAAAGGTAAAGTCCTCCACATAAACCCAAACAAAAGAGGCTAAAAAATGGCTAGTAGAGAAAACCTTTAGGGGCTGTTTGGTGGACTGGTTGGGATAGGTTGTGACCAATTAAAAGGGATTGGAGTTTAGTATGTTGTGTCAAATGTGAGGTGAACCGCATGAATTATGAATCCACAATAGAGTAAATTATTTAACCTATCCATATAAACGAGTTGCAAGTCCTTCCTAATCAATTCATGCCAATCCAATTCTATCTTAAGGCCCAATCTTATCCAGCCACCAAATGGGTAATAGATGACCAGTTGCATCTGTCACATCCTGACCCAGGGTCCACCACATCCCGAGCCCTCTCCACCACCGTAGCACAATATTGTCCGTTTTGGGCTCCGACCACGCCCTCACGGTTTTGTTTCTGAGAACTCACGAGCAACTTCCCAGTGGGTCACCCATCATGGGAATGCTCTCGTGCGCTACTCGCTTAACTTCGAAGTTCCGATGGAACCCTAAGCCAGTGAGCTTCCAAAAGGTCTCGTGCTAGGTAGGGATGAAAATATACATTTAAGGATCATTCCACTAGGCGATGTGGGATGTTATAATCCACCCCCCTTAGGGATCCGACATCCTCGTTGGCACACCACGACCAGGTTTAGGCTCTGATACCAAATTGTCACATCCCGGCCAGGGGTCCACCACATCCTGGGCCCGCTTCACCACCGTAACACGATATTGTCCACTTTGGGCCTCGACCACGCCCTCATGTTTTTGTTTCTGGGAACTCACAAGCAACTTCCTAGTGGGTCACCCATCATGGGAGTGCTCTCGTGCGCTACTCGCTTAACTTCGGAGTTCCGATGGAACCCGAAGCCAGTGAGCTCCCAAAATGCCTCGTGCTAGGTAAGGATGAGAATATACATTTAAGGATCATTCCCTTGGACGATGTGGGATGTTACAGCATCTACCCAGGAACCGGAAGTGACCGACAACCCACATTGCCAATTCCGCACCAAAAGATAACACTTGTGGGGCCCCTAGGAAAGAGCGATATTGTGAATGGTGAACTGGTTTCTCTCGAGAGGGAGTTATCAACCCTTCGCAAGAATGGGACTATTGATCCTTTTGGACTCTACTTGTATGGCCTTGTGCTCAAAGACAAAGGCAGCAAGAGTCTTGCTCTTACAGTTCTTGTGGAGTCTGTTAATAGCTACCCTTGGAACTGGAGTGCCTGGTCGGAGCTGCAGTCGTTGTGCACTACAGTTGATGTCTTGAACAGCCTTAAGCTCAATAACCATTGGATGAAGGACTTCTTTCTCGCCAGTGCTTATCAAGAACTGAGGAAGCACAGTGAATCCTTAAAACAATATGAATACCTTAAAACAATATGAATATCTCAAGTTCTATCACTTCTTTCCTACGCCGCTTCCAAATGGGCGGCAGAGCAGCTCGTCGGCATCATCGCAAGACCCGGTAAAGTTCACGCCTGCGAACACGAGATTCCAGCGCGGGAGCTCCAGCATCCGGCGCAGATTCCGCACCAACGACATCACTCTCGACGCCGGCTGCCGGCGTGTCGTATGTGTCCACTCCGGTGATGGAGGAAGATGACATTGTGGACGGCGATTTCTACCTCCTTGCTAAGTCGTATTTTGACTGCAGGGAGTACAGAAGAGCTGCTCATGTGCTTCGTGATCAGAACGGAAAGAAGCGGTCGGTCTTCTTACGCTCCTATGCTCTTTATCTGGCTGGAGAAAAACGGAAAGAGGAAGAAATGATAGAACTTTGAGGGGCCCCTAGGAAAGAGCGATATTGTGAATGGTGAACTGGTTTCTCTCGAGAGGGAGTTATCAACCCTTCGCAAGAATGGGACTATTGATCCTTTTGGACTCTACTTGTATGGCCTTGTGCTCAAAGACAAAGGCAGCAAGAGTCTTGCTCTTACAGTTCTTGTGGAGTCTGTTAATAGCTATAGCTACCCTTGGAACTGGGAGTGCCTGGTCGGAGCTGCAGTCGTTGTGCACTACAGTTGATGTCTTGAACAGCCTTAAGCTCAATAACCATTGGATGAAGGACTTCTTTCTCGCCAGTGCTTATCAAGAACTGAGGAAGCACAGTGAATCCTTAAAACAATATGAATATCTTAAGGGCACTTTTGTTTTCAGTAATTACATTCAGGCTCAAATTGCAAAGGCACAATACAATCTCAGGGAATTTGAACAAGTTGAAGCAATTTTTGAAGAACTTCTCAGGAATGACCCTTATCGAGTGGAAGACATGGACATGTATTCCAATGTGCTATATGCAAAGGAGTGCTACTCTGCACTAAGTTATCTTGCCCATAGAGTATTTATCACTGATAAATACAGGCCTGAATCTTGTTGTATTATCGGAAATTACTACAGCTTAAAAGGGCAGCATGAGAAGGCGGTTGTGTACTTTAGGAGGGCACTCAAATTGAACAGAAACTATTTATCTGCTTGGACCCTTATGGGTCATGAATATGTTGAGATGAAAAAACACCCCAGCTGCTATTGAGGCATATCGACATGCTGTAGATATAAATCCATGTGATTATCGAGCTTGGTATGGATTAGGACAAGCTTATGAGATGATGAGTATGCCCTTGTATGCTCTTTATTACTTCAAGAAATCAGTATTCTTGCAGCCAAATGATTCTCGGTTGTGGATTGCTATGGCCAAAAATGTTATGAAACTGAACAGCTGCACATGACTGAGGAAGCGATGAAGTGTTACAAAAGGGCAGTTAATTGTAATGACAGGGAAGCAATTGCCCTGCACCAACTAGCAAAGCTAAATTCTGAACTTGGACGTTCTGAAGAGGCAGCTTATTACTACAAGAAGGATTTGGAGAGGATGGAAGCCGAAGACAGGGAAGGACCAAATATGGTAGAAACCCTGTTATATCTTGCTCAATACTATAGGCAGCAGAAAAGATTTGAAGAATCAGAGATCTACTGTACCCGTCTTCTAGATTATACTGGCCCAGAAAAGGAAACAGCAAAGAGCTTACTTCGAGGAATGAGAATAGAACAAGCTGGTGGTCCTTCAATGGATGTTGAGCACTTTCCTCCCTAATTTAGTCATGATGTATGAATATGAAAATGCTCTTGTGGAGAAGAAGATGCCCAAAGAGAATTGGCTCTAATTTAATAGATTATACAAGGTTGGTATCGGTTTTGATTGATGTAATTTGTCATTGGGGTATCAAATCCTAGATGAATTGGTATGAATGTTGATTACAATAGTCTGAATGTTTCTATAACTACTGCATAACTGCCATGTGCAATGGTGCTAAGCTTGTTATCTAGTTTGAGAATCGAGATTAGTGAAGGCATATTCTAATGGTACTTGAAGGGTAAGGCCTTCAAATACATGTATGAAGAATGATATATTGATAGTATTGAAAGCACAATATGAGAGAGAAAAAAAAAAAAAAAAAAAAAAAAAAAAAAAAAAAATAATTATGGGCAAAACCATCTCTAGCACTTACTGATTTAAAATTCTGTACTTCTCACGTTTAAGGTGCTCGTAGATCAAACGATTTCTTCATGAGTAATTTTTTCTTCCACGCTTGCCAACAATACATTATAAATATAATACATCGAGTAAATTGTAGCTATGGTCTCTTAACATTAATTCAATTGGAGCAATGGTCCCTCGACTAAAAATTCATTACCATTGGTCACTCAACTCATCAAAATGTGCAACTATGATCCCTCAACTAAAAATCCATTACCATTGGTCCCTCAACTTTAATTCAAGTGGATAAATGGTCCTTTAACTTTAACCCAATTGTAGCAATGATCATTCCAACATAACTCGTTTCAACAAAAAAATTTGACGTAGTTGACGAAAAGGACCATAATTACACACTTTAATGAGTTGAGGGACCCTAATTATATAAATGGTTATTCTAACATAACTTATTTTGACAAAATTTTTGACGAAATTGATGAAAAAGACTATAGCTACACATTTTAATAAGTTGAGGGACCAATGGTAATGGATTTTTAGTTGATGAACCATTGCTCCAATTTGATTAAAGTTGAGAGACCATTGCTACAATTTACTCTAATATATCTGAAGCTAGCTATAAGACCACAATGGAGTAGGATTCTCTCCCCTATTTTTTTCCCTCCCATTCCCTCCCCTCCTATTTGAACGGTCACGGTTAAGCCACGTCAACATCTATATTAATTTTTTTATAGAAAGAGAAAGACAAAATAGAGAATGTGAGAGGAGGGGATGAAAGGGGATGGAAAGAGGAGGTGAGAGAATCTTAGTCCTAAGACATAACTTTTGTTGTGCTTTTAGACGTGCGGAACTGAGATTAAGATAACAATCACACCCCAAGACCAACTACAGTTGAGTAGAATAAAATAAACAAGAAATAAAGACAGCGACATATTTATGAGGTTCAGCAAAATCTTGCTTACGTTCTCAGAGAAATATTGCTCTTTAATATGAAAATAAAAATAGTACATGAGATGCTCGAGTTAAATCAACATAACCCTAACCTATAATTCTTGTACAACATAAGGCCTCGTTTGACAGGTCGGACTGTACTGACTATTTATGTCGGACATGATAAATAGTCACCGGATAGTATTGACTAAATTAGTCAGGCGTTTGGTGCAGTATCGAACTATTTACTGTATTATTTATACTGTACTTGGTATTATATCGGATAGGAGAATCAAACTTAAAAAAAAAAAAAAAAAAAAACAGAAATCATCTCTTTTCCCAGATCTCTTTGCTGCAACCCCCAAATCCCTCCCTCTCTCCATTCTTCTTCTTCGTCTGCTCCGCCATTTTCAGCACCACCATTGACAACTCCAGCTACAACTTCTCCAAATCCTCCACCTCCTTCTCCGTCGCCTCCCTCAAATCCTTTAAATCCTCCATTCCTCAAAACCCCCAAATCTACGACCTCTCCGAGATCCGCTCTGCGACCTCCAACTTCCTCCCCCACCACCGCCTCTCCTCCTCCTCTCTGGTCCTCCTGGCGTTGCTCCATCCGCTCTGAAGACGCCGTCGTCTTCCAGCGCAAGTCCCGCAACCTGAAGAACCCGAGCTACACCGTCTTGTGGTCGAGTTAGAGAAGGCGAGAGAGAGGGGGTCGAGTTCGAGAAGGCGAGAGAGAGGGCAAGAGAGAGGGGGTCGAGTTCGAGAAGGTGAGAGAGAGGGCGAGAGAGGGGGTCGAGTTCGAGCGGAGAGCGAGCGGAGAGGAAGGAGAGCGAGGCCGACTAAATTATACCGTGAATTTGGATGGTATAAGCAGTCAGGTAAACGCCAGATAAAAAACGTGGGCCCGGATTATTTAATCCGGTGCCTATTTAATCCAAACGGTACCAAACACCATACACCGTATTATTAGTACCATCTGGTGCCCTATACGATATGCCAAACAGGGCCTAAAAGTAGTACATGTACATGAGATGCATTTTCCACAACCATTGAGATTGAAGAAGGAGAAGAAGAATTAATTATTCCATGGTATAAATTGATGACAACCTGGCTAACTTACTTAGCCGGCATGCAGCAGCAATTCTTAAACATATGTCCAACAAAAAAAAATGACAGGTAATAACAAAATATGACTAATTTACACAATAAAATATGATTAGAATAATTAGTTTGGTCTAGTTTGAAACGGTCTCGGTTGAAACGGACTCGGTTGAAGACTGCAAAGGAGGAGTGGTTGATTACTCAAGTCTTGGTTTTATTGCCTCTGATATCAGGGAGTTGATGGCTGAGTTTGTTGAGTCTTCAATTTCGTATGTTCTTTGTTATTGTAATGTTGTGGTTCATTGCCTAGCCAAGTTAAGTTTATTTCGTAATGATTCTTGTTTTTAGTTTGAGGAATCTCCAAATGCTCTAAGCGTGGTGCTCAATTAAGACTAACAACCTAATGGATTCATTCAATAAAATTATCGCACTTCTTTCCAAAAAATTATTCTAATCGTATTAGTCATATTTTGAAGTTATCTTGTTTTTTGTGGTTGAAAGTGATAAGCCATGTGCTGCTGACATGATGAAATGACTATTCTAAATAAAACCCATGAAGTCCTGTCGAAGATGCTGATGAAGATGGGCAGAAGAATATTGCATGATCTCACAACTAGACAATCACTTTATTGTAGTTATTTATTGCATGCATGTGCTATTGTTTATTGCATGCGGGTGTATGTAAAACTGTATAAAGACCATACTGCTATTGAAGTAGATAGAGGTTACTGAGCTAAAGTATATTCCTTTATGGTATCAGAGCCCAGTCTAACGACAACCTCAAAACACCCAATTTTTTTTTTTTTTTAACTTGGAAAAATTTGAGTTTAATAACGTTTCTACAATTGTTGGGTGTAGTATGAGTTTGATAAAGGAATATACTTTAACTCAGTAACCTCTATCTACTTCAATAGCAGTATGGTCGGCGAGCAATGGCAGAGGAGTTTAATGCACTCCAACGCACAGGTACTTGGACACTTGTTCCCTGTTAGCCCCATTTCAATGTTGTTCCAAACAAATGGGTGTATCACATCAAGCGTAAGTCTGATGGTTCCATTGAATGGTTCAAAGCACGTCTTGTTGCCAATGGGTTTCATCAACAGGAAGGTCTTGATTATGGGGAAACTTTTAGTCCAGTTGTGACTCTCATGCCACCATTCGCCTCATACTGTCCGTTGCTCTTCACTTTCACTGGCCTATTCGTCAACTTGACGTCCAAAATGCCTTTCTCCATGGCACACTGGCTGAAGACGTTTTTATGAGACAACCATCAGGCTTTGTGGACCCTCAATATCCTACTCATGTTTGCAAGCTTCGTCGTTCTTTATACGGCCTTAAACAAGCACCCCGGGCATGGTTTCAGTGTTTTTCTCATCATCACTTGGAGGACTTAGGTTTCCTTGCTTCCACTGCCGACTCCTCCCTGTTTACATATTTCAATGGTGCCACTATTATTTATCTTTTGATTTTATGTAGATGACATTTTAGTCACTGGGAATGATGCAGCTCACATTTCACGTCTCATTGCTCAGCTTGGCCTATTATTCTCTATGAAAGATCTTGGGCCCCTTAAATTTTTCCTTTGCATGGAAGTCACTCGTACACCTACTGGCATGTACCTTTCTCAATCCAAATACATTGTGGATCTCCTCCGTCGCACCAAGATGACCGACTGCAAGCCAACTTCAACACATGCTACTGCCGGTCGTCGTCTTAGTCTTCATGAAGGGGAACCTCTTTCAGATGCCACTGAATTTAGAAGTGTTGTTGGTGCTCTTTAGTACCTTCTCTTCACACGTCCTGACATTGCTTTCGCGGTTAACCAAGTTTGCCAATATATGCATTCACCGACAATCACACATTGGGCTGCTGTTAAACGTATTCTTCGATACTTAAAAGCAACACATGATCATGCCTTTGTCTACACTGCTAGTTCCCTCACTCTCTCACTGCGTATGCTGATGCTGATTACGCGGGGGATCCAGATGATCGACGATCCACTGGAGGTTACTGTATTTTCCTTGGTAGTAATCTCATTTCGTGGAGTTCCAAGAAACAAAGAGGAGTCTCTCACTCTAGCACAGAGGCCGAATACCGTCAGCTTGCTTACACCTCTGCCACTCTCTCTCTTGGTTCCGAAACATTTTTCGTGATCTTCATCTTCATCTTCTTCCTCCACGTCTCTGGTGTGATAATATCAGTGCTATCGCTGTTGCCTCTAATCCAGTCTATCAAGCTCGGATGCGACATGTCGAGGTTGATTACCATTATGTGCGGGAAAAAGTCACTCGAAAAGAAATTGTTGTCGGTTATGTTGCCTCCACTGATCAACTAGCTGATCTTCTCACAAAAGGCTTGTCATTTCTCCGGTTTTTGTTTTTTTGGTTTCCAAGCTTCCTGTCCGTTCCTGCCCACTCAGCTTGAGGGGCCGTGATAAGCCATGTGTGCTGCTGACATGATGAAGCCATGTGCTGATAAGCCATGTGCTGCTGACATGATGAAATGACTATTCTAAATGAAACCCATGAAGTCCTGTCGAAGATGCTGATGAAGATGGGCAGAAGAATATTGCATGATCTCACAACTAGACAATCACTTTATTGTAGTTATTTATTGCATGCGTGTGCTATTGTTTATTGCATGCGGGTGTATGTAAAACTGTATAAAGACCATACTGCTATTGAAGTAGATAGAGGTTACTGAGCTAAAGTATATTCCTTTAGAAAGTAGTCATATTTTGAAGTTATCTGTTTTTTCGTGGTTGGAAATGAATGTTAATATTTTTTATCCGTATTGAAGGAAAATATAATATTATTACAATATGGTGAAAGTGATGTTACTATTTTATATTAATATTCAAGTGTAAATAAAGTTTGATAAGCTCGATTGCCAATTATTTCTCTTGC